GACAAGAGCTCTGGCTCCTTCCCCCTTCTTGGTCAGGTATAAATGAAAGAGAAAGTGAAGTGGATCTCATCTGTCCAGATCTGCTCTCTCACTGTGTTGCTCAACTGCTGACACTGTGTCTGCCCCACGTGGCTCATGGGCACGTGGTCAGAGGACACGCTTGGCTTATTTCTGCTATCGCTGTGTTATCTTGTTTTTATTCTTGGTTCTCTGCACTGTCTGGGATGTTTGGAAGGAGCTGCTGTAACTTGGCGTGGGAGTAGATGGCTTAAATATTACCTCACAGAGTCCATGTGAATTTAGAGTAGATAAGGATTGGACCCCAAATGGCTTTTTTAACCCATTCCTGTATTTTCTAGTTATTTCCCTCTGCTCTTTCTGATCTATTTCCATCAGATTTGAGATGTTTTATGCTTAGACCAACTTCATCTGTGATACCTGAACAGTTTCTACATGGCCAATAGAGAGATCTTGCACTTATGCACATGCATGTCCACACACAGGTACCCCCTCTGATGAAGGGCTTGTCAACATAAGAAATCCCAGAGGAAAAACGCCCATAATGAGGAATTCACAGAAAATACACCAGGTACTATTAACCAAGGTAGGCAGGTGATATCATTCACCAAACTGTGACACTGTTCTCATAGAGTAAATATCATTTCCCTTTAAAAATCCCTTTTCTTTTAGAGCACCTGTACTGAGAGGGAGAAGGTGGAGGAGCCTGTGTGCATACCCTGCTTCCCCTGCTGTTACACAGATTCTAAACACAGGTTTGGTTATTCCTACTATATGTTTATTTTTCCTCTCTGCTTTCTTCCTTTGAAGTACCTGCTTGTGTTCTCAATGAAGAACAGCTGAGAGATCAGGAAAATGGCTTAAGCATTCAGTGGGCTGGAAGCTGTTTGGATTTCAAACAGTGCCTGGGAGAGCTCTGCACAGTGCCTTGTTGCACAACCCTCCTTCTGTCACCGGCCGAGGTTGCCGTCCTTTGTTCCCTCCCTGTAACTCTCCAGAGCCTTCAAGGGAGGGAAAAGAAGGATGAAGGAGGTGACTTTAATTTCTCTTTTTTAAATCCCCCCAAGTCCTCCTTTAAAAAGCCACAGCACAGCCCTTATGGGCCATCTGCCTTTATTTCTCTTGTGCTCCTTGGCTTTGTTTGTTCCTCTGTTTCCCCTCTGTGCCCCTTTGCAAACCTCGGATCCTCGGGAGCCATGAGCAGGACCCAAGTGCCACCCGAAGCTGCAGCTCCCCCTCTACGATTTGCCAAGGAGGAACTGCCCACGGGACACTCCAGCACAGCCTCTGGAGTTTCTAAAGCCATTTTTGTTCAGAAATTCCTGTTGTTGTTGTTCCTGCTGACCTCAGCGGGCTGTATCTTTTCCAAATGTTTCTGACGTTTCTCACAGGGTAATAATCTATTAATGTCACAGACAAGGATTCTGCTGACTTCAGTTTGGCTTCTGTTTCCCATTGGATGGGCTCCTCTCTTTATGGGGGAATGCCTCCAGCCAAAAAGAGAGGAAAAAAAACCCCAGCCCTGAGCTAAGTGAAACCAGGCCCGAAGGGAAGCGCGTTGCAGCCGCGTTGCCTCTCGCTGGCTTCTGTTCTGTGCTTGGGGATGTGCCAGACTCCAGTGCCTCCATGCTTTTGATTCCTGTTTATCCCCGGCAACATGATTGTCTATAATTATATATAATCTCCCCCTTGTTTACTCTTCTTCCTCCAGGTCTGAGCACAAGCTCGATGGCAACTCTCAGCTCCGTCTGCCGGGGCTGCAGCTCCAACGCTCCTCACCATCCTCCACCTTCTCCTCCAAAGTAACAAAGCCATTGGATTTCCTCCCACCCCTTCCCTGCGCTCCCCCTCCCCCTCGCTGGCACCGGGGTTATTTATACAGAATGTGGAAACAATTTGCAGGAAAGTGAACAATGTAAGCGGGAGTGAGGGAAGGGAGACAAGTTTGTTGTGCACACTGAGAGCCCCAGCGGTGAAACGCTGCTTTTTGGGGGGCTGAGAGAACAGACTGTTTTCCTTTCTTCCTTCTCCTCTATTTCACCATCTCCCTCAGCTCTTTCCATCTTGCCAGAGTCGGGTCCAAACCAGAGCAACCAGATCTGAGTGCGTGTTTTGGAGGAGGTTCAGGTTGGATCCCTCCCTGCATCCCAGCCCCGTGAGGCGGTGTCTGTGTACTTAATCCTCTCCGAGGTTCTGCTCTCCATCGTTGCTGCTCCTGGATTAGCATTAATGAGGAGCATGTGTGCTCAGAGGTCCCGCTCCAGGCCCCCAGAGCTGCAGCACTGGGTTTAGACACAGCTACTCTGAGGAACAGTTCAGCTGAAACAGAACCATTCCTGGGAGTGAACGAGGCAGGAACTTTTTGCAAAGTCTAATTTTGGTCTTTCTCCCCTCACCCACTGAGTATTACATTTTCAGGACATCCCAGCACCTTGCTGGCTCCACTGTGAGTGTCTGGGAATCAGGGAGTTTACCTGAGTTCTGCTGGGGCTGAGGAAGCTGAACCAGCACTGACTCAGCACTCAGAGCAGATCTGGGATCTTCAGCTGGCACTCTGCACCATGAAGTCCTCAAAAAGAGGTAATCCCAACCCACACACCATTTGGGGAAGGGCCATTGGTGTTGCAGAGCCAAGGGAATGTTATCCTGGGTTGTTGGGGCAGAGCAGCTGCCTTGGCCACAGTGGGTGCCTCAGCCACTCCTCCCCTCCCAGGAGATGCAGCCTCCCTTCCCAACAGCCTCCAGACTTGGGATGGGATCTGTGCAGTTGTGCTGAGCTGGTAGGGCAGGGCCAGGGAGTTGCCAAGTGGGACAGCAGTTCCTCCCTAAACTGGGCACATTCCTGGCTGAGAACTGGTGCAGCAGATCCACTGTGATCCGCTGGCAGAGGGACAGGTGGAAGGAACATGTGGAGGGCTTTTCCTCCCTGAGAATCCATCCTCTCCACATTCCAGTTCTTCCTGCTCCTCCTCAGTCATTGTCCACACACAGAGGGTGAAGTTTCTGTGGGTGTTTGTTTGTGACATGCCCCATCTGCGCTCCCACATGGAATGGCAGGGATCTCTGGCCAGGATGGCCCTTCCAGAGCCCCTGGCACAGCAGAGACCATTCCAAATGCTGCTGCCGCTCCTTTAGCCAGTTCTTGGCTGGAATAACAACTCCAGGTGTGAAAGGCAGAACGAGAGGGAGCAAACACACTTTGCCCACCGATGTTTTGTGATTGGGGCAGTTCAGCTCTTTGGGCTCTTTTGATTTTCACTGACTGAGAAGGGCCCAGGAACAGCAACAACTTCTGTTTTCTTTCCCCAGCCAGACACCAACACTGCACTGGGAGGCTGCAGCTGGGAGCAGGCAGGACCGGGACGCAGCAGTGCAGGGCTGGGGCCCGACAGAGCCGTGGGGATCCCGGTTCCCACTCCAGCCACACCATGTCCGTGATCCACAACCTGTCTGCTTCCCATTGCCTGGCAGGAGCCTGGCAGTGTCTGCAGCCTGCCCAGACATGCTGCACACTGTGCTTGGCTGTCTGGCAAAGAGCTGGGATACGGAGAGTGCTTTGAATCCATCAGCTTCTGGAGAGAGAAGCCTCCCCAGTGCCTGTGGCAGCCCTTGCAGGCCCAGGCTGTGAGGACAGCACCTCTGGGTTGCAGGGCAATCTCTGGGCACCCCACTGAGGGCCTCAGGACATGCAGACATTCCCAATCTCTTTCTGACTCCCAAGGGTCCTCCCTGACTCCTGGAAAAATGTAGCCTTGAGTTAAACTGTGTGGAGAGCTCGCATTAGCAGCACAGGTTTGGGCAAAGTGGAGGCTTGTAGCTCCTGTAGAGACCTTAAACTGCAGAGACCAGAGGGATCATGGTAATTTCAGGGAAGCTTGGTAATTTCAGGAATGCTTGTGCTTTTTCCCTTCTGGTTCTAAATGTTCAAATTCTCGTGAAAATATGAGAAAAACTGTCCTTGGAATGGCTGTGCAGCTGAAAACATCACTGGCTTTTTGGAATTTCCTTTTTCATCTGGTTTTTTTTTTTTTTTTTAATTATTTTTAGGGTCTTTAGATGAGAACAGATTTGTATTCCTCTCTTCCTGCTGCTCACTTTACCACCTGAAATCCTCGGCTGCTCCTTGCAGTTCCCACCCCAACGGCGAGCGATATCCCGAGCGGAGCGTTGGAGCTCCAGGTGAGGGGAGGCAACAGCAGCAGATGGGCTTGTAAACAGCAGAGCTCTGGCTCTGCCACAGAGGCCCTGTTGGAGCGGGGAGGAGCAGGATGGTCGGTAAACACGGAGCCGTTTTCATTGTCTGGGCTGCAATGTGTCCGTGTGGGGAGGGGAGGGCGGTGCCGGCACAGCGGCCCTCGAGTCCTGGCACAGTCAGCCCTTCCCAGCGCGACCTGCTCGTGTTGGAACCTGCAGCAGATTGGAGAAGGCAGGAAAGCGGGGTACGTTTTCCAGCACCAGGGAATTTGTGGGTGATGAAAACAAGATTTCTAGCAGCCCTTTTGCGCTAGTCTTGGTTTCTACAGAGGTATCCTATGGTTTTCCTGCCCTTCTCCCCTCCCCTTGAATTCCTTCTGAAACTGTCAGTCAGTCGGAGTTGGGAGTAACTTCACTGATAGAAAATTCCCACGAATCACCCAAAAGTTTTGCAGCTGGATGGAGGAAAAAGAAAGCCAGAGTAGAGTCCCCACTGGTGGGAGAAAAAAGGCAGACTAAGGAGGCTCAGTTCCAGAATTTATTGAGCCCAGAGGGATTTCTAGAGACCACGTGGTGTCAGGTGCAGAAGAAATGAAGGATGATAACCAGCGTGGAAGAGCGAGCAGCCCAGAACTCCCACAGCCCAGCTGGGCTCCAGAAATGTTGGAGAGGCTTCAACAGCACTTTAATGTGAAGCTGCTGGCCAAGAGCAGCCCCTCCACCTTGTTCTGTCAAGAAAAGGTCCTGATTCATGTCATGTGTGTTCTTTCCCTGGACAGGGAGACTCTGCAGATCCTGTGGAGTGCAGGAGTCACGGAGAGCAGAGACCGATGAAAGATGGCTCCAGGCTGGGATTTTGGAGAGGTTTGTGCTTGATCCAGGGTTGAAGGGTTGGTGTTTCTCTTTTTTTTGAGATTGGGAGAGGAGAGGTTACTGAGTCCTTGAGTCTTAATGTAAAATGATTAGAATCTGGAACAGATTCCAAAATAGACATTTAGGGACAACTAAATGCACAAAGCAGCTTGGATACCTATCACTGGAGTTCATCCAGTCCTGGATAAAGCCTCTGAAATAGGCAGTGCTTTAACAAAGTACGTATGTCTGGGGACTCAAAGTACAAGGAAAAATTATGAGCGGAAGAGATAACACTTTCTCCATTTCTTAGAAAGGGAGAAAATGCCAGAAAGTTATTAATTTTATTCCCGAGACTCTCTCAGCTGGACAAGGATCCAAGGTTAAGGTGATCCCCATAACCTGACACTTGCAGAACAAGTGGGCTCACTACATCCTGGCATGAGCAGTTCTGGCATTTCTAGGGAGATCTCTTATCCCAAGTAATAACCTCAGAGGTTAATTGGAGTCTGGAAATGAGTTTATTTGGTAGGTGGGCTAGAGGGGGTTTAATTATGTGTTCAGATCAGTGTTGCTTCAAGCATTAATTTTGCCTGGGAAAGGAAGGTGTAATGTCAGGAATGACACTTTCACACTGCTTAGACTGGGAGAGAGTGGGGGACTGGTGAGAGCCTGTGGCCTGGATGGCAGATGAAAATGAGCTCTGATTAAAAGCATCTCTTTTGTTTGTTTTGGGCCAAAAATCCCTGGGCTCTGTGTAAGGCCCAGTTCCCTCACTCAGCAGTTTCTGGACAGTCAGGCTGTTAGAGGGAATCTCTCTGAAATACACGTCTGATTTCTTTTTTTGGCCCTATTTCTCTTTTCTGCTTTGTGTGGTATTCTCCTCACAGCTTTCCAGAGCAGAGTTACTCTTCCACTTGTTCCCTTTTGCCTCCTGCTGAGTCAGTTCCTTTATTTTCCACCATAATTTGTACTGTAGTCACTCCCAGAATCTGGGAAATCATCCCCAGAAGTCTCCCTGTCTCCTGAGCTTACTGCCAGCTCTCCCACTAAAGCTTTTAATTCTTTGTTATAAAGAAGAATAAAAGGCCAGGAAAGTGCACCACGACACCCATTCAGGTGCCATTACCCTGTAATTCTTTCAAAACTCTGTGTGCATTTATAGTCACTGGGAAGTGCTGGAGTGGGAAGCCTCTGGACTAAATCAGTGTGAGCACATGAAAGAGAACAAGTCCTGCATGGGGCAGTGGGTTCTGGGCTGGGTGTGATCCCTGACTCACTCTGAGGGCTCAGGGAAATCACTTCCCTCCTCTGAGCATCTGTTTCCACTCCCCACCTCCAGCTGTGTCCCTGTTTGGACAAGGAGCTCCCTGGGACACAGCACTTCATGTGTGGAGATGGAGCCTCAGCCAATGGAGCTTGCAAGGAGCAGGGAACACAAACTGGGATGAAAGGTGTGTCCAGGCAGCAGGGCAGGATTCCCAGACACGGCTGGAACCCTGTGTGCTGGGGGCCATCGCTGCTCCCACTCCTTGGTTTCTCTCCACCAGTTCCAGCTGCAGTGGTGAGGTGAACTGGCACATCCCCAGTTCCACTGGGGAATGGTCTGAAATCATTAAACTCATTTTGCAAACTCCAGCAGTGCCCAATGGGATCATCCATCCTGCCTGGAACTGCCTCACCTCCCCACAGGTGAAAATCTCCTTATGGCTCCAAGCCTTTCCATCCCATCCCATCCCACTCTGTCCCATCCCACCCCATGCCACGCTGAGCCTGCTCCAATTTACCAGCAGAACAAGCAAACCCCTTTCCTCCCTCCCCCCTTGGCTGAGGAGGTGCACACACACCCCCCCTTGGCTTTCCTTCTTCTCTGCAGGCTTTCCCAGAGTCCCTTCCTCCCGTTGTTTGTTCATTCCCTGCACTCCATCCCATCTTTTGCCTTCCTCCCTGGTTGGATACAGCATCTCACTGGTCCTGCTTCACACTCGGAGCAGGGGTATTAGATGGATTCCCCATAGAGTACAAATTGAATGGAGAGAAGTGGCTGCTTTCCCAGCAATAATTTATCTGATTAAAAAAATACTCCCCAAACTCCCCCTCCTCCCCTGCTCCTAAACCCCCTCCAAAAAGCACATTGGCACCGGGGCTGGTGTTTGAACTGTGTTATTCAAATTGCTGGAAGGGGGATTTAGATGGGAAAATAACTGTCATAGGAGGGTTCTCAGGGGATTTTCCCCAGAGCATCAGCGCTGAAATTCGGAACCTGGGTTGTTGTGTGGAGGAGGCAGAGAGTAAATAATTCTGAGTCAAGTGCCTCCCTGATTTCTGCCTTTGCCCTCATCTAACAAACACCTTGCACAGATGCACACATGGTGCTCACACACAGGTTTTCCCATCACACAGGTTCCATGGAGGAGCTGTTAGCAGGAACTCCAAAGCACACCAAGCTGCTCTGCTGCTCCCTGTCTCCTCTCTTTTCTTTGCCTTACCTCAGGCTGATTCCAAATGAAAGAAGGAATATGCTGCCTAAAATGCCTGTCTCCTTGTTTGTCACCTGCACAGGGTTCATTACTTCCCATGCAGCCTGATCCAAGGCTGGTCCTTTTCTTCTTCCACCGGAGCCAACATTCCTGTTACAACTGGGGGATGGAAAAGTCACCCCAACATTCCTGTTGTAACTGGGGGATGGAAAAGTCCCCCGGCCCTTCTCCACCCGCTCTGTGTGTGGGGCTTGGCTGCTGCCTGTGTCTCTGTGGGCGGGAGGCAGGTACTTACATCCCATAGTGCTCCCAGTGTGCCGTGATTTACAACAGGAGCTCCTTCCTGATGCCAAGGGCAGGATTGCTGCTGACATGCAAACCATTCCAGAGCCCTGGCGTGGTCCCAGCTCCAAGGGCTGTTGGCTGATGGACGTTCCTCTGCTCACAGCTGGGTCTGGGCCACTGGGGGAAACGTGAATGGGCCCGTTCTGAGCTTTGCAGCCTCGGAGCATCCTTAAGCCAGTGGCCAGGGCTCAGGTTTCCCTGCTTTTTGACAGGAGTGCTGCTCAGATGAGATCTTTCTCTGCTCCTGGAGGATTTACACTGCCACAAGTCCTCATTTTTTCCAGATGTTTTACCTAATAAATCAAGGAGTCTCATCAGAGGGTTCGGATCCAAAAGCTGTTACCATGACTTCAAAGGCACAGGCTGGAGTGGAAAGAAGCAGAGCAGACATTTTATACCACTCTGTACTCACTGATTTTGAAAATACACTCTACTTTCAGGAATTTTTTCCTGTGGATACCAAAACTCTACAGTGATTAAATAAAATAGTGCTGTGCTCCTTCAGCAACCTTTCTTTCAAAGGATGGAGCTGCAGGACCCAGGGGCTGTGCATGGCTGGCAGGAGCCAGGATGGGGCTGGTCCTGAGGGGAGCTGAGCTGTGCCAGCCCCTGTCCAAAATCAGGGATTGTAGCTCAGGTCTGAACTCGCTCCATCTTTTCAAGTCAATACTCAGCTGAGTATTTTCTGCCAGTTTAAGCTGGTCTAAGGGATTCTCATGTAAAGGATTCAGATGTTCATCTTCAGATGTTTGGGAGAGCAAAAGACAATAAGAGTTATGTGGCTGCAAAATGTGACTGTGACTATTCAGACTGGTTTGTTCCTTGATCAAGAATGTGATTTTTTTTTTTTTAATGTAGTGAACCCTTTCTTTTCACAGTGTCTACATGGTGTTGTCTTCTTTCACTGCTCCATTTCTAAAGATAACTGCTCTGTGTTTGGAGAAGCCGTTCTGTCTTTCCAACCCCTCGACAGCATGGGCTGCTGAACAAGAACATAGTGAAGGAAAGCAGCTGATGAAAGAAAAGCTGTTCCTGTGGTAGGTGAGCAGCAGAGCCAGAGGACTGGCTTTTGGTTCCCTGCTTTCCCAGAGTGCCAGCCTGGCTCCGTCTGCGCTGGTGCTGCCCATCAGAGATGCCCAAGCTGGGCTGTGTTCTGGCAGCAGTGCCAAGGGGAGCTGCTCCTCCTCACCTTCTGCCTTGTCTTCCCCTGGATCCCACTGGATTTGGAATCACAGAATAGTTTGGGTTGGAAGGGACACCTTCCACTATCCCAGGTTGCTCCAAGCCCTGTCCAACCTGGCCTTGGACACTTCCAGGGATGGGGCAGCCACAGCTTTGTCTCATCTGCCTCCTGAGTGTTGTCTGAGCAGGACTGAGGGGATGGTGCCAGGCAGGAACAGGCTGCTGGGGCAGGAGGGAGCATGGCCTGGCTGTGGGGAGCCCCTTTGGCCATGGAGAGGTGCCCAGGTTGAGTGTTGAGTCTCAAGAGAGGATTTGGGCTGTCTCCTGCAGCAGAGCCATGGAGAGGGAACTGGGGGTACCTGCAGCAGGGGATCCAAGCAGAGGCTTTGGCTTGTGCTGTCTGAGGGTTCTGGGATGTGAATAAGTTGTCACTTAGGGGAATTGGGGACTGTAGCTCTTAGAGAGCTGTGAAAACACTGCGTGGCCCCCAGGAAGCACTGTAGTTCTGTAAAACAGACTTGGAATGTGAATTCACTCCTGCTACACTGTACTTTATGGGTCCCAGGCAGTGGAGCAAGAGACCATTTGGTCTTGCAACGTGTTTAGCCAGATCTTAAAACATCACCATGGTTGCCCAAGGGGTGGATGTTCCAGAGGAGGGGATGTCCTGCTGCAGCCCCATGGAAGGGAGAGCCAGGGACAGATCCTGTGTTGTAATGGACTGAAAAACCACCTCCTCTAAATATTGACATTCAAATAACTGTCACCACGATACTGCTTGTTCCTGCCACAGGCTTCAGCAAAATTGCTGCTTGTCTTCCCTCCCCCACAACGCTGAATCCCAGCACCCCAGACTGTCGTGACTGCCGGGGATTGGTGACATCTCGAGTGACACGTGTTGGAGCATCAGAACAGAGTGGGAGCAGCACAGCTTGGCTCCAGGAGCCAAAAATAGGTACTATCATTGCTGAGCTGAAGCCTCCCTTCTCCTTCCCCACCCAGCCCTGCCTCTCTGGCACATGCAGCTCGTAATCATGGTGTTCCCGTCGGACCAAAGGAAAACCACAGTCCTAAAGCAAGCAGGGCGTTAAGTAGTGGCCATGCTTTGGAGGCAGGGAATGTTATGACATGGATCCCAAATTAGTGAGCATCAGTGATGATGATGGTTTGCAGATTTCCCACAGGGAATGGGTGTAGAAAGGGGCACGGCTCATCTGCTGCATTGCCATGTGGAAAAGCATCAGAGACACACCATAAAATAGGGAGTGTGAACTCCTTTCACTGGACAGCTGCTCAAATCCTTGTAGTTGAATGACTGAGTGATGAATGTAGCACGTTGGGTTTTTCTCTGGATCCTTCCTCTCCTTTATTCTGTAGCTCTGTGAATCTCAGTCACGCTTTCACCTGGGTTTTTCAGTCTGCTCACTGGAGTATTTGTCTTCTTCTGCTGACCCCCAAAAGCACCATTTCATTAAAAACCCTGACTGTTTGGGAAGGGTGACATTTATTCACAAAGGTAAGGCTCTTTGAAGGTGTCTGCTCCTTTGGTAGTGAGTGATTCAAATGAGTTCCCTTTCAGCATTCCTGTCTCACTGCTCCCAAGGCCACACAAAGGAGGAGGGATTTGCAGGGCCGTATAAATCAGGGTTTGTTACAGGGACGTCAAACACAACTGCACCACGGGGTGTTAATGGTGAGCAGGTGAGGAGTCAGAGCAAGTCAGAACCAAGGAACAAAAGCCACAAAGCTCCTGTGTCTGGCTCTTGATGCTTCCCAAAAGTGCAGTGTCTGCACACTCCTGCTCTGTCCTGGGAAAGCTCGGGGTGTTACACTGATCCATATCACAGAGTGCTCCAGTAATTGGATGAGTAGGTTTGGTGGGAACATCTTTGGTTCTCAATTTCTCCCATCAGGAGAGATCTAAATGAAGTTGTATGATGTCCAGCCCAGGTCTCTTCCCAACAACCAGCTCACTCCGCTGGATTCGTGCTTGGCAGAGGCACTGTGACCAGGCCATTGGACACAGGTTGGATTAAACTTCCACTGGAGTAGAGGAAGAAAACTCCCAATCTTTGTGCAGGCAAATGGGAATTTCCTTCTTTTCCAGCAATTAAATCCCAGTGCTGACTCCACTGAGTTCCTCAGTGCTGGAATAAGAAGTGATTGGGGGTTTTGATGTGCAGCCTTTGGACAAGGGGCCAGTGCTCGTGCTCTCCCCCTTCTTCAAGTCCCATGAGCATTTCAGGTTTCCAGAGGTTCCCACTTGCTCTTTCCATGCCCTGCTCATCTTTCAGACTCCAGGCTGCAGGATGGACCATGAGTCCTGAAGGCAGGTTTGTGGGCACAGAGTGTGGGGGGATGCCTGGGGGGAGTTTTCTCTCCCAGAATGATCTCACAATCTTTGCAGCTTCTCAAATACCTGTCAGTCCAGGAGTGAAGCTGAGCTCAAACCAAGCTGTTAGAGCTTTAAAATGGTCCATGAAACTCCCTTTTACAGGAGGAGTTCAGGGCAGTGGAAGGTTTCAGGGACTGGATGTGGCTCATGAGCCAGGATCTGGGATGACCACGGGTCCCTTGGACAGGCTGCACACACGTGCCTGGGCATGTCCTCGAGCACATACCACTGTGGTTTCTGGACTAGTTTTTGTTATTTCTCAATATTCCCACCAATATTTAATGTATTTCTCTTGGTTGCTGGTAGTTTCAGCAGTGAAAGTGCTGACTCTGATGTCCTTCTGGGACGTGACATTGGCTCGGGACAACCCAACAGTTTTTGTGTGGGCCTCCAAAAAATGTTCTGCCCACTGGTCTCCAATCCCAAGAACATTCCTGGCTTCTCTGGTAATATCCTTAAGCACACCACTGATAGATTTTTGTGTAGATGAATGACCTGACAACTCCAAATATTATTTATTATCCAGGATTTTTGGGTCACTAGAGTGATGGGTCAGGGAGGACTGAGGTGCAGCTGGATAATGCCAGATCCCAGACAGTGGGGTTCATGTCTCCCTTCCAAATCAGGCCAAGCACAGCCCTGCTCCTCCTCCTCAGCAAAGGGGCTGTGTTAGGAAGTGGGAGCTGGGAGAAGGGGGAGTGTTGGCTGGATCTTATGGTTGTTCTTTGGAAGGTTTTAATGATCCTTAGCTTCCATAAAGAAAGGCACCTCCTGGAGCTGCAGCCCTGGAGCTCAAGATTCACCTTTCTTAAGCACATAACATCTCTCTGAATCCCAGGGTTAGATGGGATATTGGGGAGAAATCCTTCCCTGTGAGGGTGGGGAGGCCCTGGCACAGGTTTCCCAGAGAAGCTGTGACTGCCCCATCCCTGGAAGCGTCCAAGGCCAGGTTGGACGAGGCTTGGAGCAACCTGGGATAGGGGAAGGTGTCCAGGGGATGGAACAGGATGAGCTTAAGGTCCCTTATAACCCAAACCAGTGTGGGATTCTGTGATTTTCTGAATCCTCTCAGTGCCCTCAGGCTGCCCCTGTTATCTGATGTCCTCTTTAACCTTTTAGTTACAAAATAGAAGCTTTTTTGTGCCAGACCTTCCCCCCTGGGTCCTGAAGAGGAATCACTTGTTTAACAGTGACACTGGGAAACACCACAGCAGTATTACTGTTCCCTACTGCAAGAAAGAGGGAGACTTAGGGCTGGATCCAAGCAGACATCTGAAGGGACATTTACACAAAACTTAGTTACCTTAGTCCAAAGTCCTGATCCTGAAAAACCTGCTCTCGGCTTTCCCTGCTGCAGGAGCTGCCTCTGCAAGGCACACTCTCAATTCTGAGCATTTAACTTCTTCTTCTGCCTTCTCAAAGGCACTCAAGGGTATGTCTTCCCAGACAGACCTTTCCTGATGGCAAGACTGGTCTTCTCCCTAAAATAGTTGGATCAAAATGACCTTGGTCTGGTGGAGGAGGGTGGTACCTTCTTCCACTGCCCTGGGGTGCTGGTGGATGCCCTGTGAGTGCAGTGCAGTCCTCAAAGCAAAGTCATGTCTTTTTACCTTTTCTAGAACAGGCCAAATGACCCCCAGGACGTTACCCAGGAAGCATCCTGTGTTCAAGACCAGCCTTGAAACTCCTCCTAAAGCTCCTGTGAGGGTCCTTACCCTGCACCTCTTCGGAACAAAGAGGATTTATTTGCATGACTCTTCAGCATCTCCTGCCCAGGGATTTGTGTGTTAACTCTGAGTAGCATCATTACCTCGCTGGAGTTTGGGGCACCAGAGGGTTCCAACCTGCACTGCAAATAGGGCAGCCCCACTGGCATGAACAGAGTCCATCTGGAGTGTAAACAGTCTGGTTTATTAGGGAATTCACCTCTTAGCAGTCACAGGAGTAAAGACAGAGAGGTGTCACTTCAGGTTCCTCTAGAAGGGGATGGGGAGAGCAAAACTACACCCAGCTAAGACTGTAAGCAAAGACTAAACTACCTCTAATTGCAACCAGGGGAAACACTCGAGCAGAGAGCCTAAAAGTGCTTTACAAAAAGTCTAAAGGAAAAGCTTTTTGTACAAGATTAATCTTTCTGCCTCACTGGGGTCAGCAGTGGGAGTGCAAGGAGAGAATTCAGCACAGTCAGCACCGGTCTGTAAAGATCTATGTCCAGCTTTGCATTTCATCCTGTTTATCTGGGGCTATTAATTAGCTCCTTTCAGTTTTCCTGGGAAGATCTGTGTGTTAGGGCAGCTGAACACTCCTAAAGATCCGTCATTGATTGCTTGGGCAGCTAAATCAGGTCGACAGTTCACTACTCAGAGGTGTCTTAACTTTGCATCCTTTTCTGCTGGGGCAGGAATTCCAGGGATGACTTCAATCTTCCTGTAATGTGCTTGTACTCCTTGCTTTCCTAATTTCATGCCTAGGTATGGCATTTCCATTACAAAGGAGTTGTGTTGGTTGAGCTCTGCAGGTCTGGGTCTTTCAATAGCTGATCAGAGCTTCTGGTCATGTGCTTCTGCTCTTTTCCCTCAGAACAAAACATCAGCTACTCAGATCCTGGGCTATCAAAGCCCCTGGAACAGTTCAAGTGCCAAACAGCCCCAACTGCAGCCTGAGGAATGATGTTTCCCATGGGGGCTGTGGAATATGCACAAACGTATGGTCTGTTTTCCAACGTGCCTGTCAGAGCCCTGCTGGTGCCTCCAGCAGAGAGAAATATTTGGCATAGGCCATTTCCCCCCAAACTTTACTGCTTGCAGGAAATAGAAAGTGTTCTTTTCCAACCTATTTATTTGTGTTTGACTGTAATCACAAAGGGTTGTGCTTTTCCCCTTTCTCTGGTGACCCATGAGTGTCCACTGCTGTCAGTTCTGCATTTCCTCTTATCTTTCACAGAGCTGGGAGCCTTTTCACCCCTTCCTCTGGTGTCAGCTGTACTCCATGTAAAAATTCCATATGGGAGATGAGCTTTAAGGTGGGTGTGCTCCATTCAGGTTTACTCAGCACCGTGGGCAGCCTTCCCTATTTTTTGTTTTTAAATCCACATTCTCTTGTTCAGGTGCCTGGGGAAGGTGTTCTGATGTGAGCAAGGCCTTCCAACACAACTATATGTGCTGCTGACTTTCCAGACCATCCCTTTTGCTGCCTGTGTTTCCCCATACATTTAACAAGAGGTCCCTTTGGTCAGAGGGAAGGTCCCCAGTGTAGGGGCTGACTCAGAGCTGTGCCACTGCTCAGTTCCAAAAGTCTGCAGGTGGCTTTTGGGGGAGTGTTAATTAAGTTCCTAGCAGTGCATAAGTTGGTGTTCAATTTTAATTAATTAATATCCATTTATCTTTCAGGCTGTGGTTTGTACCCTCCTGCTGCAGTGTCACCCCACCCACCCCAGGCCCATGAAATCCAGACAGGGAATGTCCACACTGGAGCTGTGTTGGCATTCCCATGTTCTTGATCACAGAATTGTGGAATCCCAGAACCTTTTGGGTTGGAAAGGACCTTAAGGCTCATCCAGTCCCACCCCCTGCCATGGGCAGGGACACCTTCCACTAGCCCAGGTTGCTCCAAGCCCCGTCCAACCCGGCCTTGGACACTTCCAGGGATGGGGCAGCCACAGCTGGCAACCTGTGCCAGGGCCTCCCCACCCTCACAGGGAAGGATTTCTCCCCAGTATCCCATCTAACCCTTCCCTCCTTCAATTTGGTGTCAGTTTTAGGTGAAGTGCAAGATTTCTTGGCTTTGTCACATCTAACAGGGTTGGCATCACTCACCTGCCTCGATGGAAAATTAGTAAAACCTTTCATGTGTCAGAACTGCCTGTAGCCAGGAACAGGAACAACTTCATCTTTCTGGTGTGGAAATTGCTCCCAGTAAGGGATCTGTCCTGCTCCATGTCCGAGTTCCCACTGCTCCCTGTGCACAGCAGGTACTTCTGCAGGGGGGTTCTGGAGGCTCCACACCCCATGGGCTGCTGCATTTGCCTGAAATTGGATGCAATTAAAAAAAAAAAAGTGAGTAAGAGAACAGTAGTGTTTTTGAGGTATGTCTTTCAGTGGTAGTGTTTCACAGCTTTCTTTCCAAGCTAAGTATAGCCCATGAGCGAAAACACACATTGACAGCAGTAGTAGCAGTAAACATGAAAGAAACGTCAGTGATACTATTCCTTGTCTTCCCTTATGCTGCCTTGTCCAAAGGCAGTGCTTCCCAGAATGTCCTGGCAGCCTGAGAAGTGGTGGACACCGCAATGACACCCCAGAGGAGCAGCTGAGTGCTACTGATTGCTGGTGAGTGGGTGGGAGGTCAGCAGGAAAACACCAGACTCCCGTCTGAAAGGACAAACCCAACAGATCCTGGAGCAGCCATCAGCCTGAAGGAGGGGTTAGAGGCAGATTGCAGCCATTTGGGACTGGGAAAACATGAGATTTGTGAGAAACCTTTTCTCCCTCTGTCAAACCTCTCTTATTTGTTGCCTGCCTCAAAGGGCTCGTGGCCGAAAAATGCCACTGCTTTGCTTCATAGAATCTAAATGTTCCAATGGCACAGACAGAAACCTCAATCTCTGCTCAGCCCCCACTGTAGGTGTTGGAACACTGTTGTTGTCTTTTTGACAAATTGATTTCTGTTGAACACCTACACTTCTGTGCTTTCAGAAATGAAGGGCACTTCTGATAACTTCTCATAGCCCGAACTTCTTTCTCTACCAATCCCCCATTTTTAGCAATGTAAATTTGTTCTGAGCATCTAAATTCCCTCCAGTTTTTGGTAGTGATCTTTTTTAGCTGTTTTCCTTTGGGGATGTGAAGGCACCTTCCTTGTGCAAAAAATGTCCATTGCCTGTACAGCATGAGAGCATTTTCCTCTGGGATTTCCCTGCCAGCACTGGGAGGAGGAAATGCCATTTCAACCCTTGGTCCTTCTAAGAGCATCCCTCAAAAATGTGTGTTATTGGAGGGGGGGCAGGTGGAGCAGCAGCCTGAGCAACATGCACAGTGTGGTGGTCCCTGGTCACTGGGAGGTGGATCAGCACTTTCACCTCTTTTTGGGGCAGAGATGTTCCAACCCCACCAATCCCTGTTGGTGTGAGCTCACAGCCTTTCCTTCCCTGCCCTTCCCTCTGCTCTGTTCAGGATCTCTGAGAGCCTTTGTGTCTCACTTGGACACAGAGTCACATTCTGAGCTCTTTGAAGCACATTTCATATTTCTTAGAATCAATAAACTTCACAGGCAGTCGCAGAAATCCCAGGCAGTCAATAAGTCCCGTCAGGCTCCCTCAGGAGTGAAAGCAGAGCGTTGTAAGGACATTTCTTAGGGAGCTGCTGTTCAGGCATATTTGTTGTTTCAATTAGTCTGATTTAGGGGCTCAGTCAGGGGCTGCAGCCTGTAGCACTCACACTGTAATTTGATTTCTAAAGCTGCCGTTCAGGTACTAAGGGAGTAAAACTATGTGGTAAAACCCCAGTGTGACAGCAGCTGTGGAGATCCCAATATGCCTGTCAGGGAGATCCAGGGAGATCCCAGGGTTCACCATCACCTGCATTTCACATCCCACATCCCATCGGAGCCCTCCTGGCTTAGATCACCTGGGAGGAGCATGGAAAGGTGGGAGAATTACAGTGTTTTTCCAGACCTGTTCCCCTGAAGGGATGTTTAAACAAACAACAAGAAAAGAAAGTCAAATGAATGTGTGTGAGAAGTGCCAGATTGGCAGCTTGAGCGAGTGAAACTTCACCTGGGTGAAGGCTGCCCATGTTTTATGTGCTGGAGCTGTCAGTGCAGCACCATTCCTCGGCACAACATGTGTTCCTTGCTTTTCAAACTGTCCCTGTGTGCCCACGTTGCTCAGTCCTGCAGCTGAGAAGGAGTCAGATGGCCCTGATGGAGGTAAGGAGCTGGACTGCTGAGCACTAGGAAGGAATGTTGGCTAATCTGCCCTGGTTTTGGAGATGCTTAAAAATTGCAAGAGGTTAGAAACGATTTAAAACCAAAATATATGCAGAACGAGTCAAGGCGTAGCTCTGCTTTCAAACTAGAAACTACCTGGAACAAAGCTCATGTCTCTCCTTAGGAAATGAGGGCTGTGCCCCTGTTGTTGCTCCCTGGGAAGAGACCTCCATGCTCTCTCTGACAGCTACATCACCAAGGTCTCATCTGGACTTTCTCAGCACTCCCAGTGCTGCAGCACAACCTTTCCTGGCAGGAAGGGGCTTTGGGAGGCACAGACCCTGTGGTGAAAGACAAGTCCCTCAGGACTCCAGGGTCCTTCAGGGGCACCTTATGAGCCTGGGGAGTGGAAGCCCCGTCTGAACAAGGTCTCGTTATGAAAAGTTTAATTTTACAACTGTTCGAGCTTGTCCCTCTTTCAGATGGCATGGTAAAAATGAAGTATGATATTTCTTCCATGAAAAATCCACTATATTTATAGGAAATTCCTTCCCTGCATTTGAAGGGGTGATGAGGTTTGGAGGAGAATTCCAGTTAGAGGAAGCAGAGCCAAAACTCTGACTTTAAAGGGCTGTCTGAGAGTGCAGGAACAAGATCATTCCAGGGACTCTGTTCCTGTCCCAAGCTATTGTCCAATGTCTTTATTCTTTCCTGCTTCTGCAGCTCCTCCTCCCTGTTGTCACTACATCATAGCAATGACTGGTTTTGAACTGTTCAATTAGAGGACTAAGGTAATTTTGTTCACGTTTGCTATTCTGTCACAAGGTTCTAATACTGCTCTGTGCCTCCAGTCCCTGCCATTCAGAGCATAGGGACACTTGAGCCACTCTTTTCAAACAGGGGCCCTCTGGAATCATTCTATCTGTATATTCAGTTTTAAACACCCACAGTCGTGCTCTGAGATACAGGCCAAGAGCAAAGGACACTTGTGGGAGTTGTAGGTGTTGACACAACAGTCAAATCTATTTGGTCTCAAGCTTTATGCTTGGACCTGCTCATCTAACTCTGGCTGATCCATTCGTGTCTCACACGGGTAACGTGGCTTTTTCTTTCCATTTCCAGGAGTCCCCAAATGCAGGTGGCCAGCCCCCTGACCAGTTGGTTGGTACCAGAGCTGGAGAGGGATGACTGTGTTCCATAGCCCTTGGGAAGGGTGCCTTGGCCTCCTGTCAGTGAGTGCAGGGTGTTTGGGCTGTGTGTGTGTGGGGGGGGAATGAGGAGAACCTGCCACGTGCCAAGAATGAGGGGAGCGAAGGATTCCCACCAAATGATCCCACAGTGAACTTTTGATCCATCAGCTCATCTGATCCACCTGATCCATCAGCTGGGCCTTTCAGGTAACACACAGAAAAGGGCTGTGCTGCTGTTTGTCTGTAAGGTGTGCTGGGCTCTGCATTTTCCAGGCATCCTCTGCTGCTGGTCTAAGGTTGTTTCTTTGGTTTTCCAAACCCAGAGGCAAATGACTGTTTCTTTGTGCTAAGCATCAATTCTCTTCTTTTTTTTTTATCCTTTCTCCTCTCCATGATTTTCCTCTCCATTTTGAATTCTCTCAGACTGCTGCAGTCTCACTTCCTGGAGACTTCCCTCCTGGCACAGACACCAGGAGAAAATGTGATGGTGTTTACAGAGCACTGGGACTTGGGAGATGTGAAATGTGGACCTGCTGCTCTACCTCTGGTGACTCACAACACCTTTCTGTGGTTCTGCTTTCCTGTCAGGATAACCTGGACTAAAACCTCTCTGGGGAAAGGATTTGCTTTCCCTGTGTGATCCTACGGTGTCTAATACAACAGGACCCAACCTCAGGTAAGACCTTTAGGCACTCCCATTATATGAATGAGAACAAGATTATTGGTGTCAGTAATTAACATTCTTGTGGGATTGTTGGAAATGCTTTGGGATAAACACCACCTGGAATCCTCGCCTGGCTTATGTGGTTTCTGAGCTGCAGAGGAGGCTGATCCTGTTTGCACGAGAGGCCATGGACCATCTGTCTCCTCTCACTGGATGTGCAAAGTCTTTCAGGCCAAAGATGAGATGCAGTAGCTCAGGGAGACATTGGGACACTTGAAAAGTGAGGGCACGGCCTGTGGGGAAGAAGAATGGAGACTCAGCGGTCAGTGTGTCCCCAGGAATGATCTCACCTGAGAACAACACTAATGGCAACCACCAAACCAGAAAAATACCACCCACAGTGTCACTGAAAGCACTGTGAATGCCTGTGGCACAGTGTCACCCCAGGACAGGCTTCCAGAGAGGAATCTCTCCCTGCTTATGTGGATGGCAAAAATCCCATTGACTGCAATGACATCAGGATTTCCCCTTGAGTGTTACCTGGGTTTCTCTCCTTCTGGAGAGAAGGGCCATATCCCACATCATTATGCACATCCTAATAACAAATAGATAATTCTTTTCCTTTAAACTGTGGATTGGATTCCAGTAAACCCTGCATTTTGGATTCTAGGTTCCCTCTATCTAGCTCTGCAATCCCTAAATAAACAAACATTGGATTAGACCTCAGCAGCTCCCTCCCTCAGACACAGAAGGCTTTAAAAGCATTTCACACCAACTGCCCTGCTCGTGTTTCAGACTCCGTTAACCACGGATTCAGGGAGCTCCATCTCCCTCTCAAACTTCCCAGGGAGCTCACCTCAGTGATTGGAAAGTCTGCTTCCACTTGTGACCCTCTCTGACTCCAGCGAGGAGCTGGAATTGCTGTTGACATCAGGAATGACAGAGGTACGTGCTGGGGTTGGAGGGTTTCTGGCACGTGGCCTGCTAACCCAGAATTTGCTCGGCAAAGTCCGGAGGGTGACTTTTAACCTCAGAGCAGTTTGCAAAACCACACCTGTGACCAATAAATGTGAAAAATAAATGAAAAAAAAAATAAATCCAGCCCCTACTGAATGATGAAAGCCAGCACACCTCGCTGGGCTCTGGTGCTGGAGTCAGTGTGGAGATCTATACAGGAATAATTGAACAGGTCATCGTTGCCAGGAGTTGTCCGTGGATGGAGCTGATGCCTCACACATGGGGGAGGCAGCACAGCAGGTTAAACTGAAGGGATCTCATAGCTCTAAATCTTAAACTTAATGAAGCACATCTTTATTTGTGCTGCAGCCCCTTCTTCTCCCCAAATTGCCTTAACTAGCTGCTAGAGGATGCCCAGTAATGGAAAATTCTCTGGATAACAATAAATTGGTGTAACGACTCAGTGTCACCTCACATCCTGCTAAGCAATAGAGAAATCACAGTGAGAAAAACAGGCATAGCCAGAGTGGCACTGAACAGTGGAATCCTAATTCCATCACCCTTCTTGTGGGCCACAGATAACCCAGTGCAATTTGCAGCCGCTCTGAAGCGGCTCCAAGTCTCAGCAGGAGTCGGGAAGGCTCAGTGTAGCCTCGGGACTGAGGAGTCACGGAAGATCAGGGGAGTTGTTGTTCCATAACCTTGCCTCTCCACCAAAACCAGTGGGCTGGTCTGGAATGGGAAGCACTCCAAGCAAAACACAATGTTTTAATCACTGAAATGAAGGTCCTCCTCTGGATTTCTCTCTGGAGAACTGTCTGTCTCTGATGATCATGCACAGACTGCCAAAGAAGGTGAATTCTGGATTTAAATCTGTACATCACCAGTGTGTGAGTGACACCAGTAAATCTGGGCTGTAAGGCTGAGATATCTCCAAGAAGAGAGAAACACTTTTTCCACTTAAATGACTGAGGTAGAAGAAGTAAATATATTGTCTCCTACTACTGAAGGGCGAGGAAATCATTTATACACATCTGTTACACCTTTGCAGCCTAACAGTGGTGGTTTTTTCAATTCAAGAGTCCAAAAGTTTAGAATTACCAACATTAAGGTGGCCTGTGCGACTGTAATTTGTCCCTTTTGTGCATTTGCATTATGATCCAGTATTTAATTGTGATTAGATCACATGCTGTTCTTTCAACAGGTTCCTGGCCTTGCTCATTCTACAGAATAGACTGTGCTCACCAAGCAATAACTTTATTTTCTCCTCGCTGTTCACTGTGTGGCCTGTGCTTTATTTACAGCACACTATTCAAATATTGTTCTGAAGACAGATTTATTCATTTCCTCCTGAGCTTTTTCATGGGACTCATCACTATGGTATCCAAGTGCTTCACAAACTCTAATTCATTTTCCCAACGCTGGAGTGAGAACTGGTGTTGCCCTTATTTTACAGACGAGGAACTCGGGCGCACAGACAGAATAATACAAAAATCTCTTTTCATTTTAGAGATCTAATTAGAAATACTCGATGGCCTGATTTTGTCAGAAAATAGAACATGGAGAAGCATCCAGTTGAGTCAGAACTTGAATACACTCTCAGCTATTGCAGATTTATCTGCAAGTGCTCTTCACTTCTGCAGATCACGCTTTAAAATGTCAGCCCAGGCACCTGGGCAGTGCTGACTGCACAACTAGTGCAGTGCTGACTGCACAACTAGTGCAGTGCTGGGCAGGCTCTCTTTAAGGACTGAGGCCCTTTTCTGGAGCAGCAGTCACCCCTTCCCACCCACAGTGCTGTGCTTGCTCACTCCAGAGTTCCTCTCAGGGTGCATAACATACCTACATCTGATTTTTACAGCAAATTAAGTGGAAGTTGTTGAGGCACTTGCCTGGGTTCCCTGGCCTTGGTTCAGTATCTGAGCCAGGCTTATCCTTCTGCACTGGCTGCCTTTATCCCAATGTTTGATAACTGGGGAGTGTGTTCCTTTGCAGCCTGACTACTGTTGTTTTAATAAATATGTATGTCTTTTCAATCTAGAGATACCCTTAGAAAGCCCAGCAATTTAATCCTGTGCTGACAGAGATGCAGGCCATCAGCAGTGTGGAAAAACTGCCTGTATGAGGGATGTAGTGGTTGGCACACGCTCCAGCACTCAAAGGGGACGAGGAACGTTCTCAGTGTGTGTCAGACACCTGCTGCCAACAGTTTTCCAGTTGGTCTTCATTCCCATTCCTAAATTCTCACCTTTCTGCTCTGCCTCCCTCCCTCAGTCTCTGTCACTCCCATTCCTACATCACTGCCCCTAGTGAATTCCCTCTTCCCGTTGTCCCTGCTGCATCCCACACCCAAACTAGGGGTCCTCCTCCCTCATCCCACTGCAGCTCTCCCATCCAATCCCTGTGCCCAGCAAGTTCTTCCTCAGACACTGTATGGACAGCCCTGGGTGCCCCTAAGCTGCATGTTCCTCCTCCCGGAAATTCTCTCCCATTCCCACTCTGTTTTTAATTCTTCTCCCAACAGCCTGGCTTCCAGACTTCCTTATGAGCTTTGCTTTATCCCTCCCTCCAGGCAGACCTGTTTTTCTTTTCAGCTCCTTGTTCCCTTCCACTGCCCTGGAGAACCTGTCTCTCTCCAGACCCTCCGTGCCTGCCAACTTACCTGTCCCAAATCCAGTTCCCGTCCCCACTGTGTGTTTCTGAAGGAGCTTCCTGCTCCATGTTTCCCCAGAGGACTGGAAGGACAAGTTCCCTGCTCGCCCTTCCTACCTGCAGCCTTGGCATGGTCCAGAGCAGCAGGGAACTGGAAGTGCAGGTCCAGCTCTGACTCCCACAGCCCTGGGCTGAGATGAGGATGGAACTGCAGGGCAACGGAAGCACTGGGAAGCCTCCCCAGAGCACCAGTGGGATTTTCAGGGGGGTTTTCACTGTGGGGCTTGAAGGAACACCTCTGACAAGGTGACTGTTCTCGTCTACAAATTCGACAGTCCCTGACAGAAAGAACAAAAGGGGAAAAGTTTATAATTTAACCTGAGGTACGAACATCAGATGCTTAAATTTCAGCACAGCGGTTGCTCTGGCCCTATTAAATGCGACTGAGGGTAGGATTTTATGATGGGAATTCCTAACCAGCTTAATAGAAGTTACACTACCAGTCCTGCCTTTTAATCGCTGCTTCCATTTTCAGGATAAATTGCAGCTGGTTGCTGGTAATCCTTGTGGCATATCAGATAGCAGCGTAACTCGGCAAGGGTAAGGTGGAGAAACCCAAACATCCTTCTGAGGAGGTAATTATTCCATTGTGAAAATGCTCCGGGATATTTTTAGTGGCCAAACCCCCTGTTTCCTGACAGAAACATAAAATAATGAAGCAAGTTTCACAAGGAGAAACGCTTCAGACACCTGTACTAGCTGGTGCTTTGCAGTCACGTCAGTGTTTAATTCGTGCATCCCTGTGTCCCTGTGCACGGCCAGCCCCACACCTGGCTTTGGGGCACTGTGGGCTGTGCCAGCACTGCCTTGCAGAAAACCCTCTCCACCAACAAATCTGCAAATCCCGCTGGATCAGGGGTGATTTCACGGGAATATAGAGCTGCCTGCAACAAGAGGGACACCCTCGCCGCACGCACCGAGGTTATCCAGGGAAACTTTCCTTAGCAGGAGTCATACACCCGGTGTAAAAGCCTGGATTTTTTTGGGAACAAATGATTTAAAACTAGTTTTAGAACGTTTTGCAACACATTTTTGTGGGGATGTACCCTCGTTTCATGTCCCGCAGTGCCCCAGGGGTCCGGTTATCTCCGGGTTACCTCGAGCACTGGTCCTACATAATTTATGTCCTGAAAGAGACGATTCAATTAGTCAATAATAAAATGAGCAAGGACAGCGTGTGCGTTGTAAAAATATAATTTAGTGGGCAACAAGCTGAGATGGAAAAATATAAGGGTACACTCCATATGATTAATGAAGGAGGAATGTATATTTATAGCTCTTATTGTGTCCTTTGTAAGCAGAAGGATCCAACAGTAGGACTGGAACCGGCTGGTAATGATGTGGCATTCCAATGATTGGGATTTGAATGGCAAATGCTGTATAAAACTAATTACCCCCAGGAGGATGAAAGTACATTTCATTTGCCTTTTCGGAGCATGTTTGGCCTTTTCTTCACGTTTATTTACGCTCGAAAAACACGTTTATTATTAGGAGGGGCGACATCCCAGACGGAGCAGCAGAGTTACCCCCCAAGAAAACAAGTTTCCACAAGTTATTTTTACACATTTAGCGCGATTTTGGTTTCCTCGGTCGTAGTGGATTGCGCTTCCCAGCAGCACACGGCGTAGGGAGTTCTCGCTTCCCACATCCTCGGGCTCGGCACACAGCGAGGATACCCGGATTGGTGCCGAACCGTTTGCTTTC